ATACAGTACCACACAATAGCCTGAAAAGCACCCAGAGTGGAAGTGAGACTTGGCCAAGAACACGCCAAGATCAAAAAAACAAAGCAGGAAGTCAAGAATGTGAATGCACAAAGCCAGATGCCAAAGTTGCTTCCAGCGACAGAAAGCGGTCCCCGCACAGTGAGAGCCTCCTCTCCCCTCTTCGTGTGCACAGGTGAGGTTTTCTCTGCTCAGCACTTGCTAATAATGAGACCCTGAGCTGGCTTGTGGAGGCAGCATCTTTCGGCTTGCTCATTAGGTGCTTTCTTCGCCAGGTTGCAGGATTCTCGACTCAGTGGTTTGTTCTGCTTCTCAGAGCCTGGCGCTGAGGTCACGTCGCTTCTCTCACTTCTAGAGAACAATAATCTTACACTGACACCCCCTAAATAGCAGAATTCCAGTATTTGAGGGGCTGCCACAAAGAAGAGGGGGAGTGGGTCAACTCATTTTCCAAAGCACCAGAATGCAAGACGAGAAACAAGGGATGGAAACTCATCAAGGAGAGAAGCAACCTGGAGCTAAGGAGAAACGTCCTGATAGTGAGTTCCATCATTTGGAAAAATATTGCACCAAAGCACCAGAGGGCAGGGGAAGAAACAATGGATGGAAACTAATCAAGGAGAGAAGCAACCTGGAACCAAGGAGAAAATTCCAAACACTGAGGACAATTAACCAGTGGAACCGCTTGCCTTCAGTTGTGGGTGCTTCATCACTGGAGGTTTTTAAGAAGAAACTGGACAGTCACTTGTCTGAGATGATAGAGCATCTCCTGTTTGAGCAGGGGTCCTCCAAGGTCCCTTCCAGCTCTATTCTATTCTAGATAAATGAACAACTTTCGAGAAATGAAAAGAAGGACTAGGAGTGACACAATAGTAGTCTTCCATTATTTGAGGGGCTGCCACAAAGAAGAGAGGGTCAACTTATTTTCCAAAGCAGGAGAAGGCAAGACAAGAAACAATGGATGGAAACTAATCAAGGAGAGAAGCAACCTGGAGTTGAAGAGAAACTTCCTAATCGTGAGGACAATTGACTAGTGCCGTAATGGCAAACTTATGGCACGCGTGCCGCAGGTGGCACACGTAGCCATATTGGTGGGCACGCAAGCTCAGCTTGTGGGATGCTTAGATCTGGCCCATGGGGCCACCCAGGAAAGAGCTAAGGACCAGCACGTGGTGCCTTTGCCAGGGAAAACAGAGTTCTGTTTTCCCTGGCAGAGGCTCCAAGAGGCTGGCGCAGTTGAAAACAGAGCTCACGAGGGCAGCGTGCAGCCCTTCTGGCTCTGTTTTCACTGACAGGGTTGCAGGAGGCCGTAACAGCTGGAAATGGAGCTCGGCAGCCCGTTTTCGCTGGCAGAGCACTCGGGCCACCAAAGGCATCCCCAACACAAGTGACATCAAGCTGGCCATGCCCACCCTGGCCCCTTGAGGTCAAACACAACCCTGATGCAGTCCTCAATGAAATCGAGGTTTGACATCCCTGGCTTAAAGGTAAAGGTTCCCCCTCGCACATATGTGCTAGTCGTTCCTGACTCTAGGGGATGGTGCTCATCTCCGTTTCAAAGCCGAAGAGCCAGCGCTATCCGAAGACATCTCTGTGGTCATGTGTCCGGCATGACTAAATGCCAAAGGTGGACAGAACGCTGTTATCTTCCCACCAAAGGCGGTCCCTATTTTTCTACTTGCATTTTTTTTACGTGCTTTCGAACTGCTAGGTTGGCAGAAGCTGGGACAAGTAACGGGAGCTCACCCCATTATGCGGCACTAGGAATTCGAACCGCTGAACTGCCAACCTTTTGAAACCCCTTAAAACCTCTTTAAAGCCCTGGCTTACATCAAGGCAAAAAAAAAAAATGCCTGTCCTTCTTCTGTCTTTCTCTCTCTCACTTCTTCATGTAGCTGGCTTTTAGCAAAGTCCTAATAATCACTCTGTTAAGGATCCCTGATCAATCCTTGATCAGTTCTGAGCTTCTTACCCAGCCCCTTCCAAGTCTCAAGCAATTTCCAAATGTAACTTTTGTGACAAAATGCATAAAAGCAGCGTTGGCATCCTAGCATCGACCCTGGCTTCTCATCCCTTTGACACAAAATCAGTTTGCTGCGGATGACATTTTTGCCTCTCTCGGTGTGTGAAGCAGTCCTTTATCTTACCCCCACCCAGCTTGCTCCTGCCTTTTCTGTTCCATCTAGAATTTTCTTTATCAGAAAAGGTATTGGATTCCCCCTCCTCCAATTTCTTGATTAGGATCACATTTCATGAGAAAGCCAACTCCTTGTCAAGTTCAGTATCTCCCATTATTGGCAGGAATACAGGCAGGCTGCTCTGATATAAATCACTTTTTCCAGGCCAAACCTCTTAAAAAAATTAAACAATGCTTTGTTGCATGCGAGTGGAGCTCAAGAGGACAACAAATCTATTGTCTAACAATTTGTAGATTCGCGGTGGTTGGGTGGTTGGGTGGGAGGCAGAAACAGAAGGCGATGCAATAATCCAACTTTCATTTACTTAAGAAATATGATGAATTTGTTCTATTTTGGACCATTGAAAAACCTGGAAGACTTTTGACCAATTATATCATCTTGGTTAAGCACTCTTACTCTTGAGTCAATTAATCTTTTGCTTCAGTCAATATCTCTTTAGTAAACTGCACACTAGAAGCTTTCTAATGAATATTATTAGCGCTACATGCAAACAGAAAGTACTTACGGCAAAACAAGTAGTTAACACTCATCTTTGTCTCAAATCAATTTCTCTCTTTGGAGAAGTCAATAGTGGATGTGCTGCGGATGGTCTGATCAGATGGGTCTCTGTTTACCAATAATCTCTAGAGCTATTAGACAGTATTTACCCAATATGTTGCAAACTTGCACAAATGAGGCCATGAATTAGTTCAGAATGTCTATTCAAATGAAATGAAGCTCAATGGGTAAGATATAATAACACACAGCTATGATCATAAAGAATGCTTTGATTGAGCTGAACTATATGTCCAATGTGCCTAATAAAAAATTGGCAGCTCTTGACTGAGATATTTTAATAGAGCAGATTAAAAACTAACTTGTCTGTGGGCTCTATGTCTAATAGGCTAGAGGTAAGGCCATTATCATTGGCCACTGCAAAATAGGCTAGCTCATTTTAAGTATGTGGAATTTGTTTAGTTACCTTGAAAAAGAGAAAGAGGAGACTAAGGTTAAAATAATTATCCTTCCAAAAAAGGAAAGGAAAAAAGGGAAGGAAAGGAAAGGAAAGTAATAGAGAAAGAGAAAGAGAAAGAGGAAAGGAAAGGAAAGGAGAAGGAGAAAGAGGAAAGGAAAGGAGAAAGAGAAAAGGAAAGGAATAGAGAAAGAGAAAGAGGAAAGGAATAGAGAAAGAAAGCGAAAGAGGAAGAGGAAAGGAAAGGAGAAAGAGAACAAGGAAAGGAATAGAGAAAGAGAAAGAGGAAAGAAAGGAAGGGAAGGGAAGGAATAGAAAAAGAGAAAGAGGAAAGGAATAGAGAAAGAAAGAGAAAGACGAAAAGGAAAGGAAAGGAGAAAGAGAAAAAGGAAAGGGATAGAGAAAGAGAAAGAGGAAAGGAATAGAGAAAGAAAGAGAAAGACGAAAAGGAAAGGAAAGGAGAAAGAGAAAAAGGAAAGGAAAGGGATAGAGAAAGAGAAAGAAGAAAGACAAGGAATAGAGAAAGAGGAAAGCAATAGAGAAAGAAAGAGAAAGAGGAAAGGGAAGGGAAGGAATAGAGAAATAAAATGAAAGAGAAAGAGGAAAGGAATAGAGAGAGAAAGAGGAAAGGAAAGGAGTAGAGAAAGAAAGAGAAAGAGGAAAGGGAAGGAATAAAGAAAGAGGAAAAGGAAGGGAAGGGAAGGAAGGGAAGGGAAGGGAAGGAAAGGAAAGGAAAGGAAAGGAAAGGAAAGGAAAGGAAAGGAAAGGAAAGGAAAGGAAAGGAAAGGAAAGGAAAGGAAAGGAAAGAAGAGGATAGACAGGTCTGCAGAAAGTGTCTGTTTCCTTTACCACATTTTCATCAAATTTAAAAATAATTAATCTTCCTTTGCATTAATACAATGATGTAAAACAGTGTTTGTCAACCTTGGCAACTTTAAGATGAGTTAGCACCCCAATTGTTTAAGTGAATCTGGGGTCTCCATTGATTTTGCTTGTCAGAAGATTGCAAAAGTTGATCACATGAGCCCGGGACACCGCAAGCGTCATAAATACGAACCAATCGCCAAGCCTCTAAATGTTGAACCTGTGACCATGGGGATGCTGCAACGGTCGTAAGTCTGAACAATATTCACTTTTTCACTACTGTGGTAACTTTGAACGGTCACTAAATGAATTGTTGTCAGCCGGGGACTACCTGTACTTACATTCAGGACAATGGTGGGTTGCTCCCGGTTTGGTCCGGTTCTATAGAACCGGTAGTAAAACCAGCGGAAGGCTCCGCCCAGCCGCCACATCGTCATCATGGGTGATCTGCGCAGGCGCAGAAGCGTGTGCGCTCCCGCTGTGAACCGGTAGTAAAGGTAAGTGGAACCCACCCCTGGTTCAGGAGCACACCTTCCAAGAAGTCACAGATCCAATATCTTCCCTACAAACTGCTTCATTTGCTGCAAGATGGCAAAAGCGAAAAGGCACTCCGGAGGCTGCCAGCCCTTTACAATTTACACCCAGTAGGACCTACAACTCATCTTGGTTCCTGGAGCAGAGCTCACCAACTGCTTCCTTGGAGCCACCAGGGGTACTGTTCAACTAATGAGATTATTTGCAATTAAAGATTGAGCTAGCAGGGAAATCTTCCTTGCTTCCTCTTTCTGGCCAGCCCAGACAGTCTTCCTTCTTGTCAATAAATATTTCCACTGGGCTTCTGGCCTTGTTGCGGGGGCTTTTGTAATGATTAACTCTGCATACAGTGGCCCAAATGACCCCGTGAATTAATCAATGGGTTTTTCTCTCTCTCTCTCTGTCTCTCGCTCCATGAGCAAAGTTCAAGTTCTCGGAGCAAGCAGCAATGGAGGCAAGGTTTAATTATTCGTGGAGCAGGGAGTAAATAAATCCCAGCTAACTCCATTTTTTGAGATGGAAGTCTCGCCACCCGTCTCTGCTGCATTAACCACCACCGTTTCTGCAATGCTAGTTCGTTATCTAGCAACGTTCCAGACAGGCGTATATACCTTTCTAAGGATTGAAGATTTAGACCAGACTCTGCAGATGTGAGATTTTGCCAATCAATGATATTTGGACAGGGGTGGGCTTCAAAAATTTTAGCAAGGGGTTCTCTGCATGGTTGCTGGGTAGGTGTGGCCATGGTGGGCATGGCCTAGTTGGCCTCCTGCATCACGGCAGGGGGGTTTTTTGCCCTCCCCAGGCTCCGGAGGCTTTCCTTGAGCCTCCGGGAGGGCAAAAACAGCCTCCCCAGGCCCTCTGGAGGCCCGAACTTTCAGTAGGCCCATTTTTTGCCCTCCCTGAGCCTCCACATGCACCCTGCACTTACCTGCATCCAAAACAGGCCACGTGTGGACTCCTGGGAGGGGCGGGGTGAGCCAGGAGTGGGATTTGGGGATTCTCCAAACTGCACAGAATCTTAGCTAGAGGTTCTCCCGAACCCCTGTGAACCTCCAGCAGCCCACCCCTGTATTTGGAATCTTTTAAGGTAAATGTGATGGGGGGGAGGGGAAAGGGTCATTGGGAACCATATCAATTTACTTTTTTTATTTGTTAACTTAGTTGCTCAAATTTATAGCTTGCACCAGTTCCCAATATATTAGACCAGAGTTCCCCAAACTTTCCGACTTTTCAACCTGGTGCAGTGAGGAGAGGGGATGGTTCCACTTGAGTGGCGGGCAAGTATGCATATGTGTGCAGCTCCATTTGCACGAGTGGTGCATGCGCACCCACCACTCGTGCAAATGGAGGTGCACACACTTCAGTCAGCTGCTCATGCTGGCTCACCTCCCACTTTCACGGCCCAGTTCTAAACAGCTCAAGGCGAGGGAATGGGCCGCGGCCCAGGGGTTGGGGACCTCTGCTTTAGACAGCTTACATAAAATGAGAGCAGATCCAAGCATTTATAATACGATACCAGAAATGAAATGAATATACTCGGGCTGCGCAAAGCATTTGAATGAGGTGCTTCACAACAGGCAAACCCTTGAATTCAGATCTCTTGGACGTTTGTCAGGTTTCCATATCTGGACTATGAACATCCAGACGGCCACTAGATGGCAGCGATAAGAAATAAAGGTAGGTCCTCAACTTATGACTGTTCAAAGTTTTGACAGACCTACCTGAGGGGTTACTTATAACCAGTGATGGGATTCAAATAATTTAACAACCGTTTCTCCCAGGGTCAGGTTGGCTGTCATGGCAGGCGTGGCCCATCCCCGTCCTCCAGCTCCACCACACATGCCGGATGAGCCTCCCGCGATGGCCAACCTGACCCTGGGCAAACTGGTTGTTAAATTATCCCCCCTGCTATCAAAGTGGATCCTGGACGCTGTGCTGCAATGGAGAAATGGGAAATGGAGTGGCCGACACGAGGGAAGGAGGAGGAGCAGGGAGAAGAAAGAGGAAAAGTGGCCCTCTACTCCCCACACGCTGGCCGCTCTGTTGCCCGTTTCTCCATTGCGGTGCAGTGCCCAGGAACCACTTTGATAGCGGGGGCGGTAGATAATTTAAAAACTGGTTTGATCGAACCAGAGCGAACCGGCTGAATCCCACCACTGCTTATGACTCAATGTCCGGACAGTTGTCCTCTCAGTCACATGATCGCACTGTGGACACTCAGCAACCCGGCTGCTTTAATCGCCATTGGCAGTGTCCCATAGTCACATGATAGTGTTTTATGTTGGTTTTACTGAAACAGGCATTTACTTCCAGTTTTTGGCAAAAATGTGCCCATAGGAAGCCATTGGTTCACTTAACAACTACAATGTTCACTTCACAACTAGATTTGCTTGCTGACCATGGTGATTTATTTAATGGCCATCACAAAAAAAAAAAGGTCGCTAAACCAGGCTGGTCACATGGCTCACTCATTTTATGACCATAAAAGTTGCAATGGTAATAGGCAGGCTTCATTATGGTCATAACCAGTGGTGGGATTCAGCGAATTCGCACCACTTCGGAAGAACCGGTTGTTAACTTTCTGAGCAGTTTGGCAAACTGGTTGTTAGAAGAAATCGTTAGGGCAGAGAACCGGTTGTTAAATTCCTTGAATCCCACCACTGGTCATAACTTGAGGAAAAGCTGTATTATACTGTAGAACAGGGCTGTCAAACTCATGGCCCACAGGCCGGATGCCTCATGTGCTGGCCACGCCCACACCCGGTTTAGCGAAGGGGGAAAAAAAGTCCTGATATGTCACACAGGGGTGGGTTCTAAAAACTTTTACTACCGGTTCTGTGGGCGTGGCTTATTTTGAGGGTGTGGCTTGGTGGGGGAGGGTAAAGTGACTGGGTGGGTGTGGCCAACTTTTTTTTTTTTACTTTTAAAAGCATTTTTTCTACAACCTTAAAGAAAAAAAATGCTTTTAAAAGCCCCTGACGATCAGGCAACTCAGCTGGGATCACCAGAAGCTTTTAAAGGCATTTTTTTTCCTACAACCTCTTCAGCTGAAGAGGTTGTAGAAAAAATGCTTTTAAAAGCCTCTGATGATCCCAGCTGAGCCGCACAATCATCAGAGGCCTTTTTTTTTTTACTTTTAAAAGCATTTTTTTGCCCGAAGAGGTTGTAGAAAAAATGCTTTTGAAAGTAAAAAAAAAAAAAAAAAGCCTCTGATGAGGTGGGCGGGGTAAGCGAGCGGTGACCGGGCCGGGGACCGGTTCGGGGGCGTAGTTAGCCAATGTTATTATCGGTTCTCCAAACTACTACAAATTTTTACTACCGCTTCTTGTGAACCGGTGCGAACCGGGAGCAACCCACCACTGATGTCACGTGACATGCAAGTTTGACACCCCTGCCATAGAAGATTCTACTCATCTAGCCATCGTTGGTTGTACATGAGTATTGCAGCCCACATTTTGATAGTCCTAGTAAGGACATCTCATTCCATTATTAAAGCTGCCATATCTTTTCCAAGGCTTGAACAGCTGCTCTAAACATGTTGCTCACTGTTTTATAATTGTATGAATAACCACTTTGTTTTTTTCTTTTCCTAGCAGGGGTGTCCACAGGGTATGGTCACCAAAGTCAACATGGCAGCCCCCATCCCATCAATGCAATCAACCTCTGCTTGTATTTGGTTTTATATGTATCACAAGTGACCCTTGCAAAAGATGTCACAATGTGGAAAAAAATAAATAAAAAACCACAACCCATAGGTGCCCTTGTATATTGCAAAGCATCTTATTCAGTGGTGGGTTTCAGTTTTTTTTTACTACCGGTTCTGTGGGTGTGGCTTGGTGGGCGTGGCAGGGGAAGGTTACTGCAAAATCCCCATTTCCTCCCAATCAGCTGGGACTTGGGAGACAGAAAATAGATGGGGGCAGGGCCAGTCAGAATTTTTACTGCCAGTTCTCCAAACTACTCAAAATTTCCGCTACCGGTTCTCCAGAACTGGTCAGAATATTCTGAAACCCACCTCTGATCTTATTCCAATGCTTTTTCACAGCCTTAAAACACGCGTCTAAATATTCTCCTTGTGCTTTTTTTTTCCTGCTGGATGTGCTGATGCAAAAATATTGTCCAAATATTTCTGAAGAGGAAGACAATCATCAAATATTTTGCTGGTTTGTCAGCCCACTGTATTTGATTCCAGTCTGAGGCCTGCCTGACAGCATTTGACAGGTTACATGGTATTTTAGTAACAGGCAATATACTGGTGATTGCTCCACCACAATATTTAGTATTTTACTCGTGTTTAATGTTTGACAAGATCTCCTATTTGGACTTGCGTCTTTTTCAACAAGAGGCAGTTTCCACATGTTGCAGAGCCAGCAATTTTAAAAACTAAAGGTCTTGCCATATATTTTTTTCCTGATGCAGCAGTGTTCAGCTATTTAAAAACCAAATGAATAATACAGACTAACTGAATTCACAGAAAGGAAGGATCTCCTTCTACTCAAAGCTCATGAGATTATAACATGCACCAGAGCTACAATTTTCCAAGCGTGAAAAGCCGAGACACTCGATTAAAAAGAGTTAAAAATGTGCCAAGGATTTCATTCCTGCTTTTGCCCTGCCTTCCAAATCATCATCATCATCATCTTCTTCTTCTTCTTCTTCTTCTTCTTCTTCTTCTTCTTCTTCTTCTTCTTCTCCTTTTCCTTTTCCTCCTCCTCGTCCTCCTCCTCCTCCTCCTCCTCCTCCTCCTCCTCTAGATTTTTATCTCACTGTGGGAAGCCTCCCCCCATTTTACAGTTTCCAGAAAAACTGGGTTTTTCTTCCAACATCACCTTTATTGTTTTATAAGTGACTCAAGACAGTGAACATATATAATACTCCTTCCTATTTTTCTCACAACAACAACCCTGGAATGTGGGTTGTACTAAGAGAAAGTGATTGGCCCAATGTCACCCAGTCAGCTTTCATGCCCAAGGCAGGACTAGAACTCCCGGCTCCTAGTGATTGGCCTAAAGTCACCCAACCACCTTTTATGCCAAAGGCAGGACTAGACACACCCAATTCCTGCAACCGTTCTTCATATGTTTTATCCTCCACTCCCCTAATCATCTTTGTTGCTCTTCTCTGCACTCTTTGTAGAGTCTCCACATCTTTTTTACATTGTGGTGACCAAAACTGGATGCAATATTCCAAGTGTGGCCTTACCAAAGCATTGTTGTTGTTGTTGTTGTTAGTTCCGAAGTCGTGTCTGACCCATCGCAACCCCATGGACAACGTTCCTCCAAGCCTTCCTGTCCTCTACCATCTTCTGGAGTCCATTTAAGCTCATGCCTACTGCTTCAGTGACTCCATCCAGCCACCTCATTCTCTGTCGTCTCCTTCTTTTACCTTCAATCTTTCCCAGCCAGCATTAGGCTCTTCTCCAGTGAGTCCTTCCTTCTCATTAGGTGGCCAAAGTATTTGAGTTTCATCTTCAGGATCTGGCCTTCTAAAGAGCAGTCAGGGTTGATCTCCTCTAGGACTGACCGGTTGGATCGCCTTGCAGTCCAAGGGACTCACAGGAGTCTTCTCCAGCACCAGAGTTCAAAGGCCTCCATTCTTTGGTGCTCAGCCTTTCTTATGGTCCAACTTTCACAGCCATACATTGCAACTGGGAAAACCATAGCCTTGACTATACACACTTTAATCATAATGAAACCTGACCATTACGGCTATAAGTCGTAAATCGGGTCACCCATCATTCTCTGCTGCCAAGGAAGAGGTTTTCAGCATGCATACCACAAACCACAAGTGGACTAGCAGATCATTTCTCTACCATTTTCCAATACTGCGATTGCCTTGGCAATCACGCTTCATTTATTTTCGGGTTTATTTCTGAGCTCGCATAATACATTGATCCAGAAGTAAATCGAAGCAGCTAAGTTTGCCATGCAAAGTAAGTCAAGAATGATCAGGAGAGAATTATTCAAAATTAAAAGGAACCAACGTTAGAGCCTGTAGTGTAAATAATACACTGACTTGGTTAAGTATGAAAACATTAGCCCTTTGACGTTGGCCAGAACAGGAAACCAAGGTTATTAATACAAATACTATTTTTATGAAAAGGTGGTAGTAGCAAAATCTTGCAAATCTGAAAGGACCTCTCCCCTTCCTGCCTTCATGTTCAAGAGGACCAGGGAGGATCAAATCTGAGATGCTTTCTCAAATTACATTCCTGCTTTGGACTCAGATTTCTCTTATCTGACCATTGTCCTGGTTGAGGCTCTTCTTCCTGATCTTCAAAGTTATTCTCACAGCCCATTAGAGTTAACATGAAAGACACGAGTCTGTATCCATTGACCTTCAGAACATGCCAAAATATTGTGCTGATTGATGGGAGTATGTTGGGTTTGGCCCAAAAGAAATCAACTCTGCGAGGTTCATCAAAATTCTGCTGCTGTGGCAAAAACCTAGCAATTTTCATCCCAAGCTGAGCTAAAACTCCTCACACTTCCTACCTCAGCTGGCAAGAATAATGCTTAGAGCGCTAGAAGAAAAATGCAGATTTGCAGACAGAGCAACTCGGTTCAGACTATGCTCCATCCTTAAAAACATTGGCAACACAGATCTATTCAATGAATTGATTTGTCAGATGGTTTTAAATGACCGTCATGCCAAGTTATAGATACTGTGGATATTTAAAACTGTGTGCCCTTATCTGTTCTCATGGAGAGTTAATTATTCAAACGGAGAAAGCAGAGAGGAGAAACCCCAGAGAAAAACATGAAAGGGTATGGTTTATTTATTTAGCATATGGCATATCATATAGGGACTAGCAATATATATCCACATTTCACCTAGATTAGTAAAGCACAATAAAATATACATGTTAAAAAGATCTGTGTTCAAATACCAATGACTAGGCGAACCTTTTCGGCACCGAGTGCCCAAACTGGAACGCACTTGCATGCGCCTGCATGTGTGAGTGCCAGAGCGCTGGAAACCCAAAAACCAGCTGGCTGGCGTGCACATGCCTGTTTTTCGGGCCTGTATTTTGGCTGGTTTTGGCCCAAAAAACGCCCCCAAACCGGCCAAAAAACAGCCTGAAAACCGTTCAAAAAATGGCCAGAAAATGGCCCAAAAAACTGCCTGTTTTGGGGCTGTTTTCAGGTCATTTTTCTAGCCCTCTGGCGCCCATGAAGACCAGCTAGCGCACCAGAAACCAGAATAGTAGCTGGCGATGGCGTGTGTGGTCACAGAGAGCGTGCCATAGGTTCACCATCATTAGTCTAGACCAGGGGTCAGCAACCTGCGGCTCTGGAGCTGCATGTGGCTCTTTCACCCCTCTGCTGTGGCTCCCTGTCACTCAAAATATGTGTCACAACTGTCAATGTGCGACACCCACCGGCACACAATTTATTGAGCTTTTCAACCCCCGGTAGGCCAGCTATGGATAAATTCAAGAAAAGAACATTTTCAGAAGAAAACAGAATGTTTAATTCATCTATATATGCTAATTTTGTGGCCGCTCAAGAAATAGTCAGGCACGGGAAGGGTTTTGTGGCTTCCGGTGTTTTCTTTTCTGTGGGAAACGGGTCCAAATGGCTATTTGAGTGTTTAAGTTTGCAGACCCCTGGTTTAGACCATCTAAATGTCTGTGAAGATTCTCAATCATCCAGGTCATATAGTTGTATCAAAAGCAGGTTTTCTTTTTGAAAAGGCCCCTGGATTTTTATTTTTATTTTTTGAGGAAAAAGACGTTTCGCTACCTATCCTGGAAGGTTCATCAGTTCTATTGGCTGCTGTGGGAGATGGAAAGACAGTTATTGATAGCTGAAATTAGTTGGGAGGGAATGATAGGCTCTGACAGGATGATGTGGAAAAATTGTGTTTTCTTTGTAGCCAGCCGGCCTTAACACTCTCTGAGAGCTGTTGTGGTTACTTGGGGTTTGATCTGTGACCTCAGGGTCACCTGAATCAGAGGCAGTGGCATCTTCTTGGAACAGCCAAAAGGACTACATTGTAAATTGGGGATAGGTGGTGTTTTACTCGTCTGTTGAGAGGTGTTCAATTCTAACATAGATGGCCTCTTTGACTCCTCTTTCAAACCAGTGATCCTCTCTATCCAAAATGTGGACTTTGCAGTCTTCAGAAGAGTGACCCACCCCCATCATCCTGTCAGGACCTATCATTTCCCCCCTCCCCCAAACTAATCTCAACTGTCAATAACTGTCCTTCCGTCTCCCACACCATCCAATACAACTGATGAAGCTTCCAGAATAGGAAGCGAAACATCTTCTTCCTCAAAAAAACAAAAAAAACAACCAAGTCCAGTTGCCTTTTCAAAAATAGAAAACCACTTTTGATACATCTGAGGCCTTGTAATTTGCCTCCTTGTGGTGCACCCTGGATAAACTTATTTAATTCGTTGAACATGTGCTAGATAACAGGTATAAACATGGACATGAACAAGAAATGATTACAAGTAAATGGGGACAGTAGGACAGGGACGATAGGCATGTTGGTGCACTTATGCACGCTCCCTTTATGGACGTTTTAGGAATGGAGTGAGCTCCACGGTAGACAGTTGAAGGCTGAAGCTGTGAGGGTTTGAGGATGTAACCATGAAGTCAGGTAGAGCATTCCAGACATAGCTGAAGTCGTATTTTCTGCAATCGAGTTTGGAGTGGTTTACCTTGAGTTTGTATCGATTGTTTGCCCATGTATTATTGCGGTTGAAGCTGAAGTAGTCATTGACAAGTAGGACATTGTAGCAGA